TTTGTTTCTTTGCTTACTTCATACTGGCTTTTAATTAATTATTTTATTACTATACTTATATAAAAAAGATTTGACTAGATGGAATGCTCTTTAGTTTCTTGGAGGTTTCCCTGTTCCTGGAGATTTAGCTTTTTAACTAGGCACCACTTAGCTACTTCCTCACATGGGATTGGAAATTACTGTTACGATTTTTATGGCATTGTGGACTTGACATTTGGGTGGGGTGTGGTGGGTGATGTAATGTCAAGAATACAACCATATACCTATACAAGCACAAGGTTTTGGGGCCTCATTAATTTTAAGGCTCCAGGGAGGTGGAGTCTGCTATAGGACCTTGGTGATGGTCCTTCCTCATCACTTCTGTACCAAGCGTCTTTTCTGTAGAATTGTACTCAAAGACTTGTATTTAGGCCCATCTCCCTCTTGTACTTGTTCATGGACAGTTATAACCCTCAGAGTAATACATTCAGATTATATTTTTGTCATCTGTAAAGTGAAGTTAGGTTAGCACTAGATGACTTCCAAGGCCCCTCCAAGATATGAAAAGGGTATATATACCAAGCGTTTTACCCATGACTTGTGGACTGCGTCTCTTTAGTCACTCTGCATGTATCTGATAGCTGGTAAATAAGTCTAGTAGAGCAGGTCACTGCCCTGGGAGGTTATACACCTGGCTGCATTGTTCTACCTCCTGTGGAAATCATCTGATCTAAGTCAGACTCAGCAGGGTTGGTATAAGAAACTGCTCTATGAAGACCGCCCTAAAAAACTGATGGGAAAATTGTCCCATATGTTGTGACATCCCTAATGAGATGATCCAAGTGATGTCATTTTCACAGTAACTGAGAATATCCCTGTGTCCATACAGCGAGGCTTTGTTTGGTTATTTTTTTCTTGCTGCCATTTTCACATAATGAGAGCTGATAGTTTATAGTGTTTTCTTTTTTAACCTTTACTGCTGAAGCTAAGTTTATTGCTCAATCACAGGAGCCTTTCTTTTTTTCCTGTTTTAATGACCTTGTGAGTTTATTGTATGGGTCCAAATTTAAAGTTTATTTAAAAATTAAAAATAAATTTGCAGTTCTGTATTTTAGCTGATGAATAGCTGCAATGTCTTTTGCTGATGGCTGACAAGCAGCTTGTTGTATTTTCACTGTTAGCGGAAAGTGTAATTCACATGAAGTTCACAGTCATAAACTAAATAGCTTCGTGACTTAATTATGGTACATTCCTATTGAAATCAAAACATAAATTGAAAGAACTTTGAAGACCTAATCCATGGTTTTTAAGTAGAAATGCTGACCTTCATAGCTCTGCATTGCTGTGTAACTCTATAATGGGTCTTCCACTAGATTCATCACATGTGTGTTCATTGAGGGCCAGCATGTGCCAACCCTGTGCTAGACAGGAAGCAAAATGAAAATTCCTGCCCTGATGGAGCTGATCTTCTAGTAGGGAAGACAGATTTAAACGAAATGAACATTTAGCACATGTAGTAAGTTGGACAGTAAGTGCTTTTCGAAGAAGCAGGAAGGGAACAGGGAGGTGGGTGCTGGTGGTGGGTGTAATTGAATGGGCGTAATTCAATTATGGAATTGGCAGTAGGTGGTGGAGGGGTAGGCGGGTGTCCGGGTGTACCTGCACTCGAGAGGCCTCTTTGGATGGGGGTGAGTGAGGAGCAGCAAGGAGAACCTGAGGGGCATTGTGAGGTGCTGGCTGGTGGCTTCAGGGTTCTGGGAAAGCCATCCTGAGTAAGCAGAATGCCTTCAGAGGGCTCTAAACAAATGAGGGACAGTCTGACATGTGTTTGATGTGATCCTGAAAGCCTTTTAACCAGGCATTGGGAATAATTAATGGTGTAAAGGCAGAGCAGGAAGGCCCTTGTGAAGTCTGGTGCACGACTCCAGATGAGCCCATGCTTATTGAGAGAATTTGCCCATAGATGGGACACGAGAGAGAGAAAAAAAACCAAGGACTGAAGGTTTTTGGTCTAAGCAACTGGTGTTACCATAAATTGAGATGGAAAGTCTGGGAGGAGCAGTTGGTTGTGGGGTATCGGGTTCAGTTTGGTACCTTGCAGTTGGGACTAGATACCCAGAGGAACTGTCCAGCAGGCTATCTGTAGTTTACGTCTGAGGTCTGAGTTGAAGGGTGAATCTGAGCCATCAGCACATAGATGGTATTTCAGAATGATTGAGAAGAGGTCCAGCACCTGGCCCTGGTCCTTCCACATCAGGGAGATCATGCACACCTTCAGAGAACCTCTGCAGGACAAGGCCAGGAGAGGAGCCAGGCCAAGAAGGCGAGGGAGGGAGGCTGGCTGTGGAGGAGGTGGGAGTGAGCCCTGGGCAGGTGCTTGTGGTGGGCAGGGCAGGCTGGATAGGGGCAGTTTGGTCAGTGGAAAAGCCAGAGTCTGATTGACTGGCTCTAGAGAGAATGTGAAGGGAGGAAATGGAGACACGTGTACAGGCAACTCTTGGGAATTCTGCTCTGAAGGGGAGGTGGGGAAGTAGCAGTGCAGTGTGTATTGGGAATGACCTGGGAGGCAGATGGTAAGGGACTCGGAGAGAACTGCTGAAGTGCGGGAGCCCCTGGTGGTAAAGAGGGGAGGGCATACCAGTATCTTTGGATAGGAGCAAGGCCAGGTGGTGCCCATAAGCAGCCACGGGTGGGGTGGCTAAGTTCAAAGGAACTGATGGGGAAGAGAAAGCACTGAGGAAGGAGGAGCTGGGGTTTGGAAGGGAGAGGAGAAAGTATGACACAGTGGTCCAGGAGAATGAAGTGTTCAGGGAAGGGCTGCTTTGTGTCTGCAGCCTCGGACACATCAGCACTAGTGGTCATGGCTGTGTGTGATGGATGCACACAAGTTGTAGGTTATATACTTGTTACTTTGTTTTAGAAGAACAATTTCACAGGTGATAAATGAATATGGGCTTATAGAAAATTCAACAATCCTGAAGGATCAAGAATGAAAGTCAGCTCATATTGTCTATATTCCTTCCCTCATGGGTAACCTTCAGTATGTATCATTTCAGACACACATGGACATGTGACTACACATACATGCATTTTTAGAAAACAGAATAGGGATCATATACTGTTTTGCAATTTTCCTTTTACGTTCCTTTCTGTTAGTAGTATATTCTGGAGACCTTTCCATTATGGTTCATGCAATCAAACCACTTTCACTGACATTAGTGTCTACAGTATTTTATAATAGGGTGTACTTTCATTTACCACTCCCCTAAGATTGAGCACTTAGGTTGTTGATTCGGTTGGTGGGCTCTTTTTTCATGTGCACCCTAGAAGAGGCTCTCTTCAGCCACTTGAGAGGTTAGGATTCAGGATTTTATGGTGAGTTTGGAGTATTTTCTTAAGCCACTTGTAGAACTTTTAGAAACCAGGAAAAAGCTTGAATTGGGCCCTTGAAAACTTTCCACTAGCCTTCTCTGAGAGACATTTATTTAACCTGGAAGCCTTGGATCATGAATGGGCTTCAGGGTGGCTCATGTGACAGAGTCCAAAATACGTTAGTTTAAAGCAGGGTTCTAACTAGTCATTGCCATTAAAGACATTATTGAACATTAATCTCAGTCCAGTTGTTTTATTATATTAAGACTGGACTGTCTCCAGGACTTCTGAGAAATGGCAAATTTAATTTGCCAAAATGGCAACGGCATGTATTGCTCTGTTCCAGTTTTCTTGGGCTTGTTGCCCTACTTTTCTATTCAAGCCTTCACTGTTAGCAGAAATTTAAATGACTCTTTATCCTGGCCAGAGAATCATTTTGAGTAAACAACTTGGATAACGTATGTTGTCCTCATTTGGAAGAGGTTAAGATTCAGGATTTTATGGTGAGTTTGGAGTATTTTCTTGAGCCACTTGCAGAGCTTTCAGAAATCAAGAAAAGGCTTGAAAAAGGCCCCTGAAAACTTTCCACTAGACCAGTGGTTCTCAACCTTCTGGCCCTTTAAAACAGTTCCTCATGTTGTGACCCCCAACCATAAAATTATTTTCGTTGCTACTTCATAACTGTAATGTTGCTACTGTTATGAATCGTAATGTAAATATCTGATATGCAGGATGGTCTTAGGCGACCCCTGTGAAAGGGTCGTTTGACCGCCAAAGGGGTCGCGACCCACAGGTTGAGAACTGCTGCACTAGACCTTTATGAGAGATAGGTATTTAACCTGGAAGCTATGGATCCAGAGCCATCATGAATGGGCTTCAGGTGTATCACTTAGGTTAAGCTTGGCTGCATGTGACAGACTGCAAAATATACATTGTTGTAAAGCAGGTGGTTGTTTATTTTCCTTATGAGAAAGTCTGAGACAGGCAGTCCAGGAGGCGTGGCAGCTCCATAGATGTGAGGACCCAGGCTATTTCCTTCTTGTTCTTTGCTCCAACGTTCTAGCTCTTGTCCATCCTCATCCCTAGAGTCTAGCAGCAGCAGGAGGGCTATGGTCACTGCCAGCTTTCTTTTGATGAGGTGCTGGCGCTGCCATGCACCGTGTCTGAGCTCATGTTCCATAGGCTTAAACTTGGCCAGGTAGCCACAGTGTGCTGTAGGAGAGGTGGGAGCTTTCCTTTGGTGCCCACATGGCCCTATAAATTAGGGCTCTTACATTGGTATTGGTGAAGCCTGTGAAACTTGGTAGAGTTTTGTCTGTGCAAATATCCAGGGAAAGGGTCCATGGTTTTTTGTTTGTTTGTTTTTAATTAAATTCTAAAGCAGACTGTGACTCTAAAATGTTTTAAATCTATCAAGTCAAAGATCAGTTGGGTGGTATCTAACCGAGGACTACCACCTTCATTATAGAGTTCAGTGTATCCCTTTAATAATTTTTGCTTTGGTTTTTAATTTGGAAAAAAGAAGACTGAGATTATGGCATGAGTAGCTTTGATCTTTAAACTCACCACCAGTTAACCACCACGTAACTTAGAGGTCATCTTCAGAGGACACACATTTAGCACGACACCTTATTTCCTTATCCTGACAGGTGCTCTGGAGCAGTTGCTGAGGATGAAGGTGGAAGAAACTCCCAGTGTTCAGCACAGGCACCAGGTTCAGAGAATATTACTGGATATAACTGAGGTTGGAATTGAGAATGTCCCCCACAGTTTATGCCTAAATATTTAGTTGTGTTATGCCTAAATATTTAGTTGTCTGGACATCTTCAAAAAGTGTGTGGTGTTTTGTTTTAAATTTTGAAAAGGTGATAAATGCACTTGATAAAAAAATGCAAATAGTATAAAAGGGTGAAAAGTAAAAAATAGTTTTCTTTTTACTCTTTATGTTCCGGAGAAATCCTGTACATATTTTTATAGCATTTTTTTTTAAAGTATGTTGTGCACATCCTGCCCCATTTATATTCGTGTAATACTGCATCTTGGGAGTTGTTCTTAGAGATATTTGCCTCCTTTTACATTTATTTGAAATTCCATTGTTTGGCTGTGCCATACATTTTGTTGTTGTTGATGTACATTTAGGTTGCATCCGTTCTTTTGCTGCTAAAAGCAATGCCTTAGTTGTGTTTTGTTTTGTTTTTTGGTATGTAGATCTATGTACAGATATATGAATCTATGTGCTGGAAGGATTCCTGAATAGGGAATGACACGGTCAAGGCTGTGTCCAGTGCATTTTGATAGCTATCTTGCTTGTTGTTCTCCAGGGTTATACTCCCACCAGAAGTGCAGGAGAGCTATTTTTCCTATTTCCCGATACTCTTCCAGTACAGTGTACCACACTGAGTGTTGCTTTGGTTTTCTTTCTTAGCATCTCCTGTTACACATATGCTGGATCTTCTTTGTCACTATGCTACTTTTTCTTGAACTTTTCATTTCTTTTTAATTAAAAAAAAATCCCTCCTCTTGTTTTTCTGAAGGCATAATTTATTGTTTATTTGCTCTTGGATTCCTTCTAATTTTCACTTCCAAAACTGTTTTGCCTTTGTTTCTAACCTTTTCTGAGTTCTGTCACTTCATTTTTGAGCTTTTCTCATGATGGTTTATGGTTAATAGTACCATATCATTTCCTTCATGTACTTTAACTTGTTTTGAAATATTAGATTAGCATTTTTCATCTATTTTGGTAACATGTCTTTTTAGCCAGTTTTCACTGACTTCAGTGATGTTGCTGTTGTTGTTGTTGTTCTTCTTCTTCCTCTTTCTCTTCCTCTTCTTCTTCTTTCTTCGAAGCAGGGAGAGGGAGAGAGAGAAACATCAATGATGAGAGAAGAAACATTGATAACATTGGTCGGCTGCCTCCTGCACGCTCCCCACTGGGGATCGAGCCCACAACCCGGGCATGTACCCTGACCAGAAATCGAACTGTGACCTCCTGGTTCATAGGTCAACCCTCAACCTCTGAGCCACACAGCCCAGGCTATTTTGCTTCTTATTCTCTTTTAATATATATTATCTTTTCATCAATTGGACCTCAATTTTTTTTTGTTTATTTTGATGTGGAATTAATTTTCCTGACTATTTAGAAGGGAGGCTTGATTTAGAATAGTTTTTCTAAATTCAGTGTTCTAGAGCTCTTATTTTACATGTTTTTTAGGAAGTCTTAAAAAAATGTAGCAGTTCATTTTCTGAACTCTCCTGGCTCTGTTTTTCTCTCCCACCTTTAATTAGACTTTGATTTGTCTCTGTCATTGTTTTCCCTGTCCTGTATATTTTGTATTCTGTTTTCAGTCATTTTGTTTCAGTGTGTTTGGCTTAAAGGGAGCTTTGGATGATGATTATTTTTAAAAAATATATATTTTATTGATTTTTTACAGAGAGGAAGGGAGAGGGTTAGAGAGTTAGAAACATCGATGAGAGAGAAACATTGATCAGCTGCCTCCTGCACACCTTCTACTGGGGATGTGCCCGCAACCAAGGTACATGCCCTTGACCAGAATTGAACCTGGGACCCTTCAGTCCGCAGGCCGACGCTCTATCCACTGAGCCAAACCGGTTAGGGCAAGGATGATTATTTTTAAGAGTTCCTGGACCCCAGAATGTTCTAGGCCTCTGGACTTTATTGCAGACCTCTTGCATTTGTCTGCTCTGGGACTGTGCTCACTTCCTGGTTTCAGCTGCTGTTCTCAAATTGACACATTACTTCTCTGCTCCCTGCTTCTACCATGATGATCTTGTCGCTGTCACTGGTGTGTCCCCACTTGCTTGCATTTTGGGGTTTGTTAGGAAGAAATCATCACTCAGTTCTACTATAGACATTGGCCTGGTTTTGTTATCCTAGCTGCTCCATGTGTTTTTATGGGGGGATTTGAGGAGACTAAAAATGTTTTAGTAATGGACTCAGTCAAAGTTGCTCTGAGATCTTTTGTTTCTCATCCAGATTGGTGGTTATCAATCTCTTTTTTGTTAAGGACAGTTGATGTTTTCTCACCTCATTCAGTCTTGTATGAAGTGATCATACATTTGATTAGATGTTTACAAAGGAAGACTTAAGAGAGGAGATTTGTTCCTCCTACAAATTGTCTTCCCTATGAAATTCTGGAGCTACCATTTAAGCTGTAGAATTTAAGTCTGGACAAAAGAGAAGAGGAATCATGTTATTTATAGGATTTAAGAACACATGTGAAACCTGCAAATTAATTTAATGCTCATTGGAGCTTACCATTAAAAGTTGCTGTCAGGAGATTCCGACTTGAAACTAGATGATCTGAAAATTGTAAGTTATCTCTCTGCTGCTCCACAGGAGCCATGTAGGGATGGTAAGTACTTACTGATGAAAGGAGCTGTGCTGTAGAGTTGAGTGTATGGTTACGGCCCTCAGGGAACATATAGTCTAGGTGGGAAAATAATTTCTTTTGTAAGTAATTACTTGTAAATACATAATCCAATATAATAAAGAGGTAATATGCAAATTGACTGTAATACCCTCACAAGATGGCCACCCCATGTGGTCACAAGATGGCCGGCAGGGGAGGGCAGTTAGGGGTGACCAGGCCAGCAAGGGAGGGCAGTTAGGGGTGACCAGGCCAGCAGGGGAGGGCAGTTAGGGGTGACCAGGCCAGCAGGGGAGGGCAGTTAGGGGTGACCAGGCCGGCAGGGGAGAGCAATTAGGGGTGACCGGGCCAGCAGGGGAGGGCAGTTAGGGGCAACCAGGCAGGCAGGGGAGCAGTTAGGCGTCAATCAGGCTGGCAGGGAAGTGGTTAGGGGGTGATCAGGCTGGCAGGCAGAAACGGTTAGGGGCAATCAGGCAGGCAGGCTCCCAACTCCTAAACCGGCAGTCGACATCCCCCAAGGGGTCCCAGATTGGAGAGGGTGCAGGGCTGGGCTGAGGGACACACCCCCCAAACCCCCCCCCCCCCCCCCCGCCCCAGTGCACGAATTTCATGCACTGGGCCTCTAGTATAAAGTATAATAAGATAAAAAATATTACAGTGACATTGATTACTGAGTTCTTCAGGACCTTCTCTTTTTCAAGTACTATATTTGGATCTCTGATCGAGAGATCATATTTACAATGATATGGCCTCATTTTTGTTTTGGAAAATAAGGTCTCTCTAGGCCTAATCAAAGTGTTTCAGGATCAGGGAGAAAATAACTGACTCTATTCCAGACACAATGTTAGGCTCAGGGATGACAACTCACACCAGAGGTGGCCCTGCCCCAGAAGATGCCCTGTGAATAGGATGGCAGTGCTCTTGGGCATAGCAGTGGGCTGTGTTGCAGTTCAGGTCTGTGCTGGAAGCCAAGGGGAAGCAAAACAGAGGCGCTCAGAGAGGGTGGATTTGAGTAGGAGAAATGGGGTATGGGGATAGCCTTGGCTGAAAGGTCCATTAGGTAAACTTTGGGAGGTGAGAGTTTTATTACTGGTGGAAACAACAGTGCGATGGTTTTCTGGGGTGTGTGAGCTGAGACCCCACGGGGAGCAGGTGGAAGATAGGATGTATTCTGTGGGCAGTAGGGGACTGTTGGAGACTTTTGGCTTGGGGATGATGTGTTTAAGCCATTTTAGGAAGGTGACTTTAAAGGTAGTGTGAGTAATGGATTGATAAAGTGAGAGGCTCTCAGGTAGGGGCTAGACAGAAGCAATGAGCATTTTTTGGGCTGTTTCTCAATTCTCCAAAAATGCTAACCTTTTGGTGGTTTGGGGTAAGAAGAACCCTATATTAAAAACAAAATTTGTGGACATCTGATATTCTCTCTTTATTTTTGTTTTTATTATTCTCACCTGAGGATATGTTTATTGATTTTAGAGAGAGGAAAAGGAAGGGGGTTGGGAGAGAGAGAGAGAAAGAAAGAGAAAGTGAAAGAAACATCCCTATGAGAGCAAAACATTGACATGTTCCAGGGATAGAATCCACAACCTAGGTATGTGCCCTAACTGGGAATCGAACCCACAACCTTTTGGTGCACAGGATGACGCTCCAACCAACTGACCCACCTTGCCAGGGCCTGATGTGCTCTTGAATATATATAGTCAGCAGTTTTCATTTCACAGGTCACAATCATTAATCTCCCTCTCTGCTCTTGTGTTTGTTTTGTAGGTGACAGAATCCTAGCCCTGTGTGAGTTTGATTCTTGCTTGTTGACTGGCCCCTCTTCTCTCCTTCTGGATGATGTCAGAACAGGATCTGGCGGATGTGGTGCAGATTGCAGTAGAAGACCTGAGTCACCATCACCCAGGTATGTGAGAGCAGATGGACTTTGTTCTCTCTATTTTTTAAAAATCCAAAAGTGCGCCCAGCTGGTGTGGCTCAGTGGTTGAGCATCTACCCATGCAGGAAGAGGTCACCGGTTTGATTCCTGGTCAGGGCACATGCCCCATGTATGGGGTCAGTCCCCAGTGGGGGTAGCGTGCAGGAGGCAGATGATCAATGTTGATTCTTTCCAGTTGATGTTTATATCTATCTCCCTTCCTCTCTCTCTCAAATAAAAAAGACCATATTTAAAATAAAAATAAAAATCCAAAAGTGCTTCCAGAAGTATCCTTTAGTCTTTTAAAGAAAGAGAAAAAGTGATGCATGCACTGTGTGAAAGGTCCATTCTCAAATGGGTAGCCTTCTAGCACCTTGTCCGCTCTTCCCTCCTCTGATGTGCACAGGCACTTACAGTCTCTGCTTCCCTCTTCCTTCCCCCACCTGTAGGGGCCTCTGTGACAGCTTAGTTCCTTGTAATTTCCTCCTTTTAAAATTTACTATTGTAATGGTCATGGAAATGTTACCATGTTGATATGTCCCAATTGACTGCATTTATGTGACAACTACATGGTATTCCATTTATAGGTGTCCCCTCATTTATTGAACTTTCCTCTTGTGGGTGGCATTTATATTTTTTGCACTGTTTCTATTTCATAGAAACCCCTGCAATAAAGATCCCTGTAAGTATATCTTGGAAAATCTTTTTTTTATGGTAAATTCCAAGCAGAATTGCTTTGTATGTTTACAATTTTGATAAGACACTGACAGATTTCCCAGAAATGTTTTACTGTGTTACTCTTCCATCTGCTGAGTGAGAACAACTATTTTCCTACACTTTGGCTAAGGCTGGTAATTTTTCTTATTGATGTTAAAAGCATACATCTACTTTGAAACCTTAACTAAATATTTGTTTTAAGAAGGCCCCTCATAAAGGAAACCCTAAATTTCAAGAACTTCAGTTATGAAAAAGCTTTGTCTACACTTTTACTTGTAAAAGGATTTCTCAGTAGGTTTCCTCTTTTTTTTTTGCCTTAAAGTTTTAAGTGTTTTATATATAGTTACAAGTGCACATAATTAAGTCACTGAATGTCTGTTGCCTGTTTTTCCCTTTTAGAATAGTGAAATTGAAATACTGAATTGTTTTTCCAATATAAAAGAGAATTTTCAGAAATTTCATAAGAAAGCATGATGTCTATCCTGTATGATCTATTTGATATGTTAATTGGGAAACATTTCATTTGGAAATTAGTTACGATACAGAAGGGGAGAGTAATATAAATAATTTGGGGATTAAATGAGTGGTCATAAGGAAATGAAGTGTTTCATTTCAGGAATATTTTTTGGTCAGTTTCCCCCTTATTTTGCTTCTGATTTTTTTTTTCACAGATAGGATTCTGTTTTATTTGTCACCATTGAAAGTCTAAATTTTAAACAGATTCTTAGATTTGGGGCTCCTATCCATCAGCTTGTTCAAATTTAGCACCTGACTTATCCCTAGTAGTTTTATCGGAGCTGTGACCTTCACCACGAAGCTCCATGAGTTTTCCCAGTTCAAACTTGGGCTTCAGCATTTTTACTTTTCTAACAAAGACATCATGGAGTGGATAAATAGGTTGGCAAACCTTTCCTCTATCTTTTCCCATGCCGTCTGGAATAAACTTATTGATCACTTCTATGACGTCATTTGTACTTCTCAGGTCATGATTTCCATCATCATCTTCTGGATTTGGTGGACCTGTTGATGCTGAGCACAGGAGGTCTTCCGAATCTGATAGTTGTGATTTTTTAGTAAAACCAACATAGAATAGATGAAGCAAATAACCATTGGTATTATGACATCAACATGAGCTTCAGTCATGCTCTTTCATTTTGTCACGGGTAAGATCCATGCTGTGGAAATCAGTGGTTTTGTCCTGCACATTTAGTAATTAGCTTGAATTTTCTAACTGCAATGTCATCATTCTGCAGATCAGTTTGGCTCACTTCAAAACCACGACCCTTGAGACCATCAGATGTGATTTTGGTTCCTTGACTAGTTTTTGTGACATTTCTTTTTTTTTTTTTTAATTTATTTTATTGATTTTTTACAGAGAGGAAGGGAGAGGGATAGAGAGTCAGAAACATCGATGAGAGAGAAACATCGACCAGCTGCCTCCTGCACACTCCCCACTGGGTATGTGCCCTTGACCAGAATCGAACCTGGGACTCTTGAGTCCGCAGGCCGACGCTCTATCCACTGAGCCAAACCGGTTAGGGCGTGACATTTCTTATATTGAACACAGCTGGTGCTTTCACATGACACTGATCTTTCTTAGAAAAGAGTTCACCCATTTTCTTGGCTCCCTTTTAGCCGCATAGTGACCTGTGCACCTGGCCTCCCCTGTGTTTGCCCCTGACGCCTTTTGTTTAATTATTGCCAACTACCATGGTGCTGCTCAGAGAGCCAAAAGCTGCTTCTGATTTTTTTAGTAAGAAGCACTATCACCTATTAACTGGCAAAATCAAGAGCTTCATCAGATCATTGAACAAAGTTGGGCATATGAGTGCAGCTATTCAACTACAATTTTCTCTGTAAAAACTAACCGATTTGTTTAGAGCTAGTACTTATAGCCCTGACCTCATTAGCACCACACCTTAGAAACCTTTGAACTTAAAAAGAAGCAGCGCTATCACTGTATATAGCAATTCAAAAAATATCCGTGTTTATATTTTGGTAGGTGAACAACAGTTTCTTTAGAAAGCACACACTGCAATGTTATAAAAGAGAAATGTTCCAGTCACATAAAATTTAAGCACTTTTAGAACTATTCAAATTCTGATAGCTGACTTCCTACATAAATCCCCTCTCTGTAGATTATAGTCCAGGAAGGCATAGAGAAGTCATTTCTAATCTTGTTTTGTTCCATCTCTGTTCCTTAAATAACTGGGAATTATAGTTTATTGACTGTTTAATGAGAACCTGTATGCAAGGCTCTCTGAGGCCTTTATGGGCAGAAAGCCTGCAATTTCTGACTCAAAAGAACTTGCACACACCCAGCAAATACCATGGTGCATTACACATGTTTGGAGTCAGAATGGGTTTAAGATTGAGATTATTTTTTCCTCATCTCTAAAATATGACCTTTGTGAAATTTAAAAGTAGTTAAGCAAGTAGAAGAAACAAAAATTTCCCATAATCCTAGTAATAGAACTGCTTTTAAAATGTTGGCATGTATGTCCTAATTTCCATTTAAAAATAAATGTTTAGGTTTTGGTTTTGCATGTACTCACCATACAGCTGCACTTACTTCACTTGTCTGCTTGTAACTTTCTTCAGACCTATCATTCCAGGTGATTGTGATGGCTTTAAAATGAGTATTAAGCTCTGGCTGGTTTTGCTCAGTATCTTTACAATTTCCATAGAGCATTGGCCTTTGGACTGAAGGGTCTTGGGCTCGATTCTGCTCAAGGATATGTACCTTGATTATAGGCTCCATCCCCAGCCCTGGGTCGGGGCTGTGTATCTCTCACATTGATGTTTCTTTCTGTTTCTCCGCCTCCCTTCCACTCTTTCTAAAAGTCAAGGAAAAAATATCCTCAGTGAGGATTAACAAATAAAAAAGAGTATTGAGTTCTTTAATATAAATCTAAAAGCAATGCACACAAAATTATAATAAGCAATGCAACAAAGGACAAAGAAGAAAAGAAACTGTAGTCCTGCAGCCAATCGGAAGTTATTGGTAAATTCTGGTGCCGGTGCCTGTGCTGTCTGCCAGGGACACATCTCCTTTTACGCATCTGCTTCATTGTTCTTTGCTTCCAGCCTGAGGTGCTTCACGCTGCCAAGGGGCATGGAGTCGTCTTTTCTGTGGTGACAGGAACCAGCTGTGTGGCTCTGGACAATCACTTAACCTCTCTGAACTTGTTTTCTATTCAGCAAATTAAAAGGATCAAAATGATTGCCAAGGTTTCTCTCTGTCTTCCTAGTCCTGGTATAATTACCAGTTTTCTATAGAGGTGACAAAAGTTTTGGGAACCTGTGTTTTGGTAACCACAAACACTTTTAGATGTGGATTTTCCCCCTTTTTACTTAATTAAATAAACATTCATTTTTATTTTTGTGGAGGTAGTCAAGGCATTTCCTGCCACACAGGATCCACTGTGCAATGATCTTAGGTAGGCAAGATGCCTTTTGTTATTGTCAGTCCTTGGCTGGTTCCTGCGGAGGAGCTTTGGGTAATCACCTCTGGGAGATCACTTTACTACTCCTGCCTAGGAACTACGAAAGGTTTGTGTTTGAGTTATGGGTCTATGCAGTATCTTTATACTTAAGAGTTTTGAGATGAATTATCGAGTATGTATAAGTTTAAAGGCATTGACACTTTAAAAAAAATTGAGATCTTATTTGGAATATCAAGATATACAGCCTGTTGAAGTGGCGGTGCTTTGATTGAGATGGGGCCTGGGCCATAGTGACCTGTGCACTCAGCTTCCCTTGTGCTTGCCCTGACCCTCCCTGAGCAGATGAGACATCTAATGCCAGCCAGATGCGCTGTGTCCACAGCTGTGGACAGCCTTTTGTGAGGGGCTGGGGGGTTCTTCCTTTGGTGGTGGTTGCTGTGCCACAGCATGAGCAGGTATTATTTCCAGCACCCGTGTGGGCCTGGTGGAAGAGGGATAGATTTCTTTGAATGGAGGTGGTTGAGCACAGGGAAGATTGGAGGGGGAAGAGCTGGGACTGTCAGACATCATTGTCCAGGTGAGGCAGGCATCTTCTGTCCACAGCGAGTTTATCCTGCTTGATTGTAGCATGGGGTGCATTTGAAAGGAGGTCTGATGATATGCCAAAGTGGTCAGGCTCCATAGTTTATTCTCCATGGGTGGATACTCCCACAAGTGCTACAATAAGTGCAATTCTGTGTACACATGTATATATACACAATATTATAATATACATGCTGTGTGTGTGTGTGTGTGTGTGTGTGTGTATATATAACATATGTAATGTATATTCTCATATACTGGTATGCATTTCTGTAGAATAGATTCACAAACTTATATTACTGTTAAAAAGTGAGTTAAAGCCATTAACTGGAGGGCTGTCCACATTACATTGTTAAGTGAAGATGAAAGATGCGGATAGATCTGATATAAGATGGCCTTGGCCCTCTGGTATATATGTAATATGTTTATCTCCATGTGTGAACTTGTAGAAAGAGGTGAGGAGAAATATATCAGGCAATTATCATTGGTAATTAAGGCAAGGAGAGGAGAAGGAAAAAAATACTGTAGCAAAATGGAAAAGTACTCACGGTATCATATTCAATAAAAAATGACTATGATATTCTATCTATAATTGCTAATATGTAAATGTTTAGTGATTGACTAGGTCTAGAGCAAACTATCAGGAACAGAGAAACATGGTTTGCAGAAATGATGTGATTTATGGATAGTTGTGGTCTTTCATTCTTTGGCTATCTTTAATATTGTTTTTGTAGCTAATTTCCAATGAAAGGAAGGTGGTTGGGACCTGACCGTATTGTGACAGGCTTTGAATGTGAACTGAGTTGCTTATTTGTGGGGAAGCCATGAATATCAGCTGAGCATTGATGGGGAGGCATTGATTTCAGCGGCACTGTGGAGTAGCTTTCCATGTAACTTAGTATGTTAAGTTAGGGACTGTTTTGATGATCAACACCTAAGGAGATGTAATAGCCCAGATAGTTTTTAAATTTGAAATGAGGTAGCCAACAGACACGACTTTAAAATTGGGAAAATATCACTATTATTGATTTGGTTTTGTTATGCCGAAATTCAAACAGGGTAGCTGAATAGAACACTGAATGAGAATCCTGTAGTTTTGGAGTTGGGGAAATTATTTATCCAGTATCTCAGTTTTTCTTGAGATTAAGGAGAGATCCTATTTTCTCTCTGAGAATTTTAACTTAGAACTATGAAAAGGTAAAATATGAAACAGGTTGTACCATTTCTCCTTTTAACTTTAAGGTGTCAGAATGGTTTACTATTTTAATATTAAAACAGTCTGTAAAACTTTTCATATTAAAGTTTAAGTCTTTTGTTTCTGCTTTGGTTTTCAGTTGTACTGGAGAATCATGTAGTGACAGACGAAGATGAACCAGCTTTGAAACGCCAACGATTAGAGATCAATTGCCAGGACCCCTCTATAAAGGTAAAAATATAAATATATTTTATTATTTAGTTTCCTAGCACTGCCATAACAAATTGTCAAAAACTGCAGAGCCAAAAACAACAGGAATTTATCCTCTCACAGCTTTGGAGACCAGAAGTCTGAACCCAATGTGTGGGCAGGGCTGTGCTTCCTCCAGAGACTCTAGGGGAAGATCTTTCCTGCCTCTTCTGGCTTCTGGTGGCTCCAGATGTTCCTTGGCTTGTGGCAGCATCACTCCAATCTCTGCCTCCATCCTCACACTGCCTCTTCCCTATGTGTTGCTGTCTGTTTCACTTTCTCTTCTAAGGAAATTATTATTGAATTTAGGTGTCACCCTAATCCAGGAAGATCTCACCTCAAGATCCTTGACTTAATTACATTTACAGAGACCCTTTTCCAAATAAGATCACATTTATACATTCTTGGGGTTAGGATATAGATGTATTGTTTTTGGAGTCACCATTCAATCTCCTTAAAGAATCAACATTGTTTAGATTGAGATGCTGCCACATGAGGCATCTTCCTCTACAACCACAGACCTGTTGTGGACAGAAGGAAAGAGAACAATTTGTGTGGCTAATATTTCCCACTAGTGCCGAAGTACTTCTGTACCTACCATGTAAGTCACCTAAATTTCAGTTTACTAGAGGTGGTCTTGGAAACCACTGAGTCAATCAGTGATTTTGGATCTTTGGATTTACTTTTTTGGTTTAGTGTTTATGGAGTCATGGAGATAAATATCAGCACATGTGAGAAGTTTCAGCAATGCAAATGTAAACCATAGTGGCTTTTCATGTAATCCCTCTATTTAGAGACATTCATATCCCCCAAAACTTAACAATTTTGTTAAAAAGGGTAAGTAGTGTAAGCTTAAACATGTAGGTGATTTAAAAGTATATTCAGCCTGGCCGCCATAGCTCAGTGGTTGAGCATCAACCTATGAACCAGGAGGTCATGATTCGATTCCCATTCGGGGCACATACCTGGATTTCAGGCTTGATCCTTGGTGGGGGGCATGCAGGACGCAGCCGATTGATGATTCTCTCTCATCATTGATGTTTCTATCTCTTCTCCCTCTTCCTTTCTCTCTGAAATCAATAAGTGTATTTAAAAAATATATATTCACAGTTAAATTTCTGTTTCTGACTAGTGGTTAGAAGGTGTCTGCATTAGTAACACCAAATTATATTTTAAAATAAAATGCAGTTATCATTTTACCACTGGAGATACTCATTATAAACATAAATTGTACAGGAATTTATAAAGTAAAAGATGAAAGTGGGCTGGCCTCAGTCCTAGTTCCACTGTCAATAAGTTAAACTTCGGGCTATGGTTTGAATACTGCCACATTTGTGTACTATTTGGAAAAGTTTGCTCACCAAATTGCCAAGAACTCTTCTCTCCAATGAATAGATTTGAATGTGTATATATCACTTGTATATAAAAAGACATTAAGAATACTGTTCTCTGCTCTTTGTATCATGAATTTGTTTGATAATTGTTTTACTAGTACATAACAGTGAATTTTGCCCAAACCCTAGGTAGAATCATTTGTAATTTAGAGTTAAAATAATAAGGTTTTACTGTATTTTAAGAATTCCAGCCGAAGCTGTGGATAGAGCGTCGACCTGTGGACTGAAGGGTCCCAGGTTCGATTCTGGTCAAGGACATGTACCTGGGTTGCGGGCACATCCCCAGTGGGAGATGTGCAGGAGGCAGCTGATCGATGTTTCTCTCTCATCGATGTTTCTCTCTCATCGATGTTTCTAACTCTCTATCTCTCTCCCTTCCTCTCTGTAAAAAATCAATAAAATATATTAAAAAAAAAAGAAAAAGAATTCCAGAGCCAAGTGTTTGATGTCTTCAAATGATAAAGAAGAATGGAGTTTTAAGTGATTTTTATCTCAAGAATTCAGTGACCAATGGGTGGTTCCAATGGTGATATACATTAGGGTGAACCATGGAAGTTACCTCTTTGTAGATCATGGGTGATGGAATGTCAACTGTGTGTGCCTCTGGCCCCGGTCACACACTTGCTTCAATGTCCTGTTCTCCTGAAGTCAGGCAGTCACTGGGGGACGTGGAGGTTAGCCCTTGCTTTATACGTTAGCACTCATGATGAGTCTCATCAGGGGGTGTGATTGCTTGAGACAAAGTGAGTTGTTTGGACAGTGTGCAGGTTTTGTTTACCGCATTGCTGCCACTTACTGTCACGTCTACAGGCAGTTAGACAAATGCATTTAACTTCTTCACAAGATGACCTCAGTCTGTTGAAAATGCACTGAATAAGAATATCCATATTTTTCTTCTCCCAGACCTCGATGCCAGCTACATGATGTGATATGGCTCTAATTTTGCTGTTTTTGCTTCAGATTAGAAGGGCAGCAGGCCCTCGGAATACTGTAGGCCAGCAGCAGTTAGATGGCATGTCCTGTCAGTCAAATGGAGGCTGGCCTTTTACTGTGGGCAGAGAAGCAGAGAGAAAGAGGAAAGGCAGAGTCTTCATTATTTTCAGCTGTTGGTTCTCAAGCCAGCCTTTCTACTAAATTGAGCTATTGGATACTTTATGAACTTGCTTCTAACTAGCACTCTGAATCCTTCTACTAGCTGGTGAGATCGGTTTAGGGTGTTTGCTGCACAGTGGAAGTCTTACCTGAAAACATGCTTCTGTTTGTATTCTTGTCAACTCACGGCAGGAATGGCAGTGTGGGAAGTGAAGAGTTTTCCTGTCTGGTGTGTGTATTTAATCTGTTTCTTGGGTCTGGAGTCATGTATGTCACTGCTTACTGTGATCAATTGGAATTAGTAATTGGGACTTGGCTCAAAAGTGATAATCAAGTGTGAAGCTGCTCTTCATGTCAACCACTAGGTGGCAGGCATGCTATTTGTAACTTTTTTTTTTTTTTTTTTTTAACCAAATTTCAACAGGGCAGTGGGGATTATGTGAATGTGCAGGACTAGTAATTTCCATGCTGTTTTAATGTTACAGGTAAATGTGTTTTTATAGTTAGAAAGATGTGACTAGTTTTTATGTGTAAATTTACTGATTAATAGAAGAACATCCTGTGTTCTTATCATATGGACTTAAACGTTACTAAGAATCACAACTACACATAGAAGTAAAACAAGGATTTAAGTAGTCACATTTAAATATAAGAGGTTGAACTTGTTTACTCAAATGTTTCTGGCATGTAACTAAAGAGCTAACGTGCAGGATTGTCCTATCAGAGTAGATGTGATTCAAATTAGGAAATAACCATTTGAGGTTCCTTAAAGTTCAAGATATCCCTTCTGAAGTTTTTCTTTTTTTCACTTCCAGTCCTTCCTGTATTCCATTAACCAGACAATATGCTTGCGATTGGATAGTATTGAAGCCAAGCTGCAAGCTCTTGAGGCTACTTGTAAATCATTAGAAGAAAAGCTGGATCTGGTCACAAACAAGCAGCACAGTCCCATCCAAGTCCCCATGGTGGCGGGCTCCCCTCTCGGCGCAACACAGACGTGCAACAAAGTGCGATGGTAAGAACAGACGTGTGGGCCGTGGTCACTTCCTCACCCAGGCTCCTCTGTGCGGTTACCCAAATTGTAGTACACATGAGGGCATCTGCCTCTAGCTTCACGGCACCTATTTCACTTAGACCAGTGGTCGGCAAACTGCGGCTCGGGATCCACATGCAGCTCTTTGGCCCCTTGAGTGTGGCTCTTTCACAAAATACCACGTGCGGGCACCCCACGTAACAGTGTGATTGAAACTTCGTGGCCCATGCGCAGAAGTCGGAAAAAAACGTATATTATGTTTATAGGGGCCAAAGAGCCCGCATGTGGCTCTGATCTGCAGTTTTCCGACCACTGACTTAGACTCAAACTAAACACGTGATACCCTGCTGGACTGGCTTGGAGTCATCCTCACATTTTCTTTCTGACATGAACCAGACTGGTGCATCTTTTCTGTGAAATTCACCCATCACATCTTGGAAGATGTGCATTTGTTTCTTTGTTGTTGTTTTTCTATCTGGCGAGTCTTTAGATATTTTTTCTCTGTATTAGTATTTATAAATTTTATTTGAGTATATCAAACTTTTTCCATTCATGTCTGTAGTTTTTTTAAAATCCTCGCTCAAGGATACTTTCTCCATTGATTCCTTAGGCCCATTTGCATTTGTTGTGAATGATCTGTTGGGAAGTCTAAGTATAATCTCACAGCCCGAATGCAGACACCGTAAAGGTCTTTTCAGTAACGAGGCCTCTGGGTGATAAGATGTTCACTGAAATACCACTCTCTCTTCTCTTTGGAGGCTGCGCGGGGCCCAAAGACAGCCCCACCTGCAGGGCCTGGTGCGGCCTCTCAGCTGCAGGGCCCACTTTTGAATCTCTCTCTGCATACTGAAATCCACTCAACTGTTGATTATTTCTGATTAAAACTGGCCCAGACTGACCATGGTATCAGCTCTGAGAGTTATTCTCTTTAATCCCTGGAGCATAGGGGCAGTGGACTGCTGCCAACCTCAGCTGGTATTTTGGGTCCAGATTTTCAGATTCTACACCTGAATGAGATTCTTTAAATAAATCCAAGAAAGAAAGAAAGAAAATCTTTTTCTTTGATGTTAAAACTTAATTATTGTAATAAAAATGTGAGGTTACTTGGATGGGATCTCACCCACAGTGGTCTTGTAATTGAGGAATAGAAAAATGGACTTGAATTCTTTTAGGTAGGTGCTTTTTTCCTTCCTCGCAAGTGTGCCCATATTTGGATTTTGCTTATTGTAATTCTGGAATAGTGAGGTTTTGTTTCGCATTGGTATTGGGGAAGTCCGTATAGAGTAGGCTCTTCCTTTAAATGCCCAGCTATGAGCATTCCAGGAAGGGCCTTCATTTTATTATGTGGACTGAAGGGATCACGTGTATGGACAGGCACATTTATACTGTAGATCAGTGTGAAAACCCCTCTTTTGCACTTTCTTGAGATTAGACATAGAGCCATTTGAAGAAAGTGCATTAGTAGGACATAGCTGGGCCTGGTGTTGGCTTGATGGGGGTGCTGTCCTAGTTGAAGACCGAGCTGGAATGAGGAATTCCGGGCGGGTGGGGGTGGGTCGTGAGACATGAACTCTCGATTTATAGGTTGCCTCCCATACATGCCCCAACTGGGAATTCAACCTGAAAACTGGGTATGTGCCCTGACCAGGAATTGAATCTGCTATCTTACTACCCTGTGTCGTACAGGATGATGTTCCAACCAAATGAGCCACACCGGTCAGGGCACACAAGTGGTTTATTTTGATTGAGCTGAGATTGACATAACAAATTTTTATTTTTAAAAGCTTAGATATTTTTTTACAGCTTAGTGTGTTTTTATAATTATAAAACAATTGTAATAAATTAGAAGCTTCTTTAAAATCCTCTCAAAGTAAAAAGCAGATTTCTTTTTTTTTAAAAGCATATTTTGATTGATTTCAGAGAGGAAGGGAAAGGTAGAGAGGGATAGAAACATCAACGATGAGAGAATCATGATTGGCTACCTCCTGCACGCCCCATACTGGGGATCGAGCCCCCAATCCGGGCATGTGCCCTTTTAAATGTTGCTGGATATTTGTGGAAGGACTGTTCTGGTCTTTGAGCCTCCATGGCTCTGGGTAGAAAGAGGCCTCGCTCGCTCTGTGCATCTTGTTCTGGCATTGGAGCACTGGCCTGGGTCACCAGTATCCAGAGTGTTTCCATTTGGGGCATTGACCTTCTCAGTCAAAAGTATAGCATTTCATAAGCTTTAGAATGTGACAAACTCAGGGTAAGTTTGTTTGAATTGTGAGGGAATGGTGTGATCTCAGCAATGACAGACGTTTTAATTTTTCCTTATCAAATTTTGAATTTAAAAAATATTTTTATTGATTTCAGAGAGGGAGAGAGAAACATCAGTGATGAGAGAGAATCATTGATCGGTGCCTCCTGCATGCCTCCCCTACTGGGGATCTAGTCCACAACCGTGGCATGTGCCCTTGACTGGAATTGAACCTGTGACCCTTCAGTCCACAGGCTGACGCTCTATCCACTGAGCAAAACTGGTTAGGGCTGAATTTTTGATGTTTCCATTTAATTTTGTATGCATGTGATTTCTATTCCTGACTGGTCTACACTCCCTCACACACCTGCTGACTTTTGGTGACTTTGTTGTGATTTCCTGTACATGTTACAACTGAGTATTAACCAAAGAAAACATATAGTTTACACATATACACTTTATGAGTCATTAACATAATCTGATCACTCAAATTCAGTCTGATAAGCAGATAATAAACAGTCAAATGTTTTAATAGATTATGCATATTGTAATAATTCGGTGTACTTCCAGTGTTAGAATAACTCATATCTCATTGATTGGAATTGAGTTGAATCTGTAGGTTAATTTGGAGAGAATTGCTGGCTTGCTTTTGTTAATTGAGAGGTTTTCTTTGAGATAATTCACAAAAATTAGGAAGTTAATAGTATATCAGATTTCCTAAACTCAACTTGGTGAATAATTATTTTGAGTTTCAGAAGGATATAATCTAGTGAGGCTTAATTGTAGGTTGGAGGGAGGCAAAAACTTTCTCAAATAATTTTCAAATATTCTGGTGGAACTCCTCCCACCCCAGCTGCAAAACACAAAGTTGGAGGTCACTGTGTGAATAGAAATATCACCTGATATAGGGAATGAGTGGGAAGTTATTTGCAAATAATATAGCACTGTCTACAGTTTTAGTCTTACCTAAGGTTTGCTCCTAGTTTGGGTTAATATAAGTAACTCAGAATGTGAACTCCCTGAGGGTAAAGCATTTCTGCTGTGCCGGAGTGGCCTTCTCACTTACTGCCATTCAGGACAGTGTCGGTGATGGAAGGGGTCAGAGGGTTTGGCCTTTGGGCATTTTAAGTTATTTAAACTTGTCTTTGGAAGAGTAGTTTCTCCTCAAATAGGATGTGCTCTTAGTACCCATATGTGTAAGGTGAGGTTTAGACAAAGAACATAATTGTGGACATTCTTGATTATTTGATGTGACATGCTCATGTCCCCTCAGCCTTCAATGGTTGTTCAGTGAACATCTACAGACATGTCACTGTTGGTGATATTACAGACTTGGTGGCAGTTGTTTTCTTTAAAAAAATATTTTTATTCATTTCAGAGAGGATGGGAGAGGTAGAGAGAGATAGAAACATTAATAATGAGAGAAAATCATCGATTGGCTGCCTCCTGACTGCCCCACAGTGGAGATTGAGCCCGAAACCCGGGCATGCGCCCTGACCTGGAATTGAACCATGACCTTCTGGTTCATAAGTCGATGCTCAACCACTGAGCCACACCAGCCAGGCCAGTTGGTTTCTTATTTCCTGGATGAGCTTTTTGCTTGGATTAAATGCTTTTGGTACTTGTGGAAGTTTTCCTTGATCGTTGGAAATTGGATATAAGGAATGACTATGATGCTTATGCAAACCAGATTCTCCCAGGGAACTCCATTCTTCAAGGGGACTTAAGAAGTGTTTGTTTGGTTAAACCCCAGTGCACTGAAACTCTTGGGTAGGGATGGAGAATATAGGCATGACTCCTATACCTCTAGCAATTTCCATGGCAGACTTGTTAATTGATGTTGACCCATCCCTGTGAGCTTCAAACCTGAATCAGTGTGGTGTTTTCAGGTAAATGGAGCTGGCTCTAAATATTAAACTATTTTGGTTCTATAGGGTTTTCTCTGTTCCTCTGTTAGTATACAATAAGAGGTGTGTGTGTATATGTGAGTGTTTACATTTGGAATCCAATTATAAGTCATTGAAATCTGTATAGGATTTTAGCAGATTCTGTGTTAGAGTTTCTATGAAGTACTCTACGCACACAGTTCTTCTGTAGAGCGTTTGGGTGCAATCTCTGGTCCACCCCTTGTCCCAGGTCTGCATGTGTTTCTTGTTGGGCTCTCTGCATGGCAGATACTGACCTTGGAAATGTTGGCTGATCCTGCCCTGGTGTCCTTGCCTGCACTGGACCAGGTTATGGGCTCCACATTCTCTGGTTCAAGCCAAGGGGCTGCTTTTGTCCAACTTGTTTTTGGTTTTCCTTTTGTAATAAAAAGTGGCAAACACAAACTTGTGGAAAATAGTTTACATCCTACATTTTCCAAGTCTTTTATTTAAGTCCTTTTTTTTTTTTTTGCACAGATTTGAATAAAGCTCCTAAGTGTGCATTCAAATGATAGTCCATTTTTTGTGACTGATGGGTAAAGGGAGCAGAAAAGTTGATGTTTTAAAATAATAATACAGGTACTGTCACAAAAAACCGATGAGAAGTTGGCCACTTCCTAAGTGTAGCTTGGAAAATGTTTGCCATGACAACTCTGAAAGCTGAGGACACAAAATTGATTTAAAAACAAAGCAACTAAAATGCTTAAACACTGAAAAGGGTAAGTTGTAACAGTATTGAAATAGGATTATTCCTGCTGCTGACCAGCAAGTGGTTAAGAATATGAGAAATACTTGGTTTCAGATCCAGGCTCTATCAT